GCCGCGCGCAGCGCCGCCGGCTCTTCCGACGCTGCCACGGGCAAGCGCTCGAAGTCCGCGGTGGTGAGGCGGCCCAACCCCAGGCCCGCATGTGCCTTCGTGGCGCGAGCCGCCTTTCTGATGCATGACCCTGCGATGGGTGGCGCAAATTCAAGCTGCGCCCGCTCCTTGGACATCCGAAAACACTCCATCACCTCCTCAGCGTCAACGTTAGACGCGCGCCAGAGACGCTTCCACTGTTCGCGATTGCCATCGCTGGTGTTGCGAGAATGATCGCTGACGCTCTCGAGCTTGGTCATGGGTTCATCCTCGACGTCGCTGCGCAGCCGCCCCAGCGTCGCAGGGGTCTCCATCCAAGACGAAGGCTCGCGCAGCGAGGCGGCGACCGCCCCCCTTTGACACCGCCTTGCGAGTCGCTCAGCCCGCCGAGTGACTGCGTCGAGCTCGCACTTCAAAATGCCATGGGTATGCGTGGGAACCTGCTGCCGCCGTCTCCACGATGTATCGCCGCCCGCGCGCGTTCTCGATCCTGCGTGGAATTGCTGCGGGCACTCCTCAATCAAGCCGCCGATGGCCTCGGCCGAATACGCGCGCTCCGCCGCCCATTCTGGCGATCCACGCGCCGGGCCAAGTCGCGCGACGAGGCGCGCGCGCGCGACCGCTGGCGCGAAATCGCATCGCGTGACGGCGACGCTCGCGGCACTACTAAATGATGCACTATATTCTTCGCCGCACTGGCCCCAGAACTGCGGCGGTTGCCGAGCCGGACCTGCCTTCCGCGATGCACCGGCGGCGCGGTTTCAGCTGCGCGCGCCCGCGTGGCGCGCGTAGAATTCGGCGCGGCTGGGGCCGGGGCCAGAAGGCTGCGGGGGGGCGAGGGGGCTGGGGGGGGGCGCAGCTCGGTAGCGGCGAATCCGACCTCGCTCCGATACCTCTCCCAAAGCACGTCGGGGACAGACAAGTGCGCGAGATCAGCTGCGTCGTCATTGCTAGGGGCTACTGTGCTTTCCTCGGGGGGGGGGGCAGGGTGCTTGAGAACTGCTCTCAAAGGTCGGGCCCGCTGTCGGCGCCCGATGCGCCTCCCAAGTGGACGCGGGGGCCCCTCGGCAGGGGCCGCCCCGAGCGAATTCCCGACCGAATTCGGGCTGCATTCGAAAGATTCACGCCCGAAGCGCTTGCCCCGCCTATGCGAGTGGGCTGAAGCGCTGACTCGCGGGCCCTCGGGCCCTCCCTGTCCTCGAACGCGCGGTCGAGCTTGGCCCGCTGGAGCGCCCCCTCCCGGGCCCGGGCCCCCCCGTGAGATCCTGCTCGCGCCCCGTGGAGCCGTTCTCGCTGGGGCGGCGCCGACCTTCATGGCCCCCCTCGGGGACCTTCTCCGAACAGGCGATCAAATGGCTATTTCCCAACAGTCCTGGCCCAGTCCAGTTTCTCTGTTTTCTGCTAGGGCGGGCGGCGCGCGACTTCGAACAAAGCGTCGGCTGCGCCCTGGGCCGCGCAGACTGCGGAAGCAGCGACGGCGCCTCTAGCTGCCGCGTGATCAACTGCTGCCCTGACGACCTAAGCTCGAGCAGAAGACCGAGGTGAGGTTTCCATGGTGCAATGGTGACGCCTTCGATGCTGGCGATGCATGGACATGCTGTGCTGCTCCACATTGCGCTGTGGACGACGGGGCCCTCGACCCCTACCGCGCGCGCAGCGGCGACGTTGCTAGGGGTGGCGATGATGTGACTTCCCTTCAACTTGAACAGAAAAGCTGGCTTCTTGCATCGCGGAAGATTTCATGTAAAGCCGCAGCGCGTGCCTTTCAATACTTGCACATGCTTGATCATGGCGCCGGGCTTCTGGATTCAGGCAGGCCCCCCCCCCCGCGTCCCAGACTGAGCGGCCCATAAAAACTAGCGCGGGCTGCATCTCTGCTGGTGGACGAGAGATACTTGAAGCCCGTCGGGCAGCGCATGGCCCGCAGCCCGAAGGTTACCGCCACTATGCACATTCGTGAACGTCGACTTGGCATCCTGGCCAGATGCCGCCCTCCGCCCTCGTTGCGCCTCGGGGCCCTGGCTGCAGATGCCTTCTTTCCTGGCGACACCTGGCATGATTGGCAAGGGCGCGACGTCCCTGATCCCTGGCCTTCTTATCCCAAGGTTTGAGATGTGGCTCAATGACGTGATTCTTCACTATGCTGACATCGTCGCACCTGCCCACCATCGGGAATTTCCACGCCTCGCGCCCTAACGCAATCACATTGGCGTAACAGAATGTGCTGAAGTCGCCCGAGGTTGGCTCGGGCGACGTGGCTGCCTCGTCGGGGGCGGCGCTGCGAACGCCCTGTTCGTCGTCGCGCTGCCCGCGGCAAGCGGGGGCTTGCTGATGGCGTTGCCAGCTAGTCAGTGCGACGAAGAGCCGCCTGCTGCAGCCGAGGCGGCTGCCGCCCTTGCACTTGCCCGCGGCCTTGCCCGTGTCTGCCTTGATCGCCGCCTTCTCCCGCCGTTGGGCCTCGGGCTTGGCCTGCGACAGCCACTCCGCCGCCGCCGAGACATCGGCGTCGAGCCCCTCGCCCGCTGCCTCCTGCGCTGGTGCTGCGGCGCCTGCCGCCGCGGCCGCGGGGCTGTTGCTCGCCGCGGCGGCCGCGCCCTCCGGCGCAACGGCGGCGCCGTCGGCCCCGCCATCGCGAACGCCAGCTTCCCCTCCACCACCAAACAGTCAGATCAGCCTGTGAATCGCCCGCAACTCGTTGCTTCTTGGCGAGCCCTTCTTGATAGCCTCGGCCTTGGCCAGCATGGTCGTGACCTGCGCCTCCACGGCGGTGGGCGCTCCCTGCAAGCTCTCCCAGTTCTTGTTTGACCTGCTCCAAGTCCGCGTGCTTGGGCTCCTCGAGCTCGTGAACAGCTCCGTGTGCCACGTGAACTGGAACGTGGGGCTGTTGGGCTGGCCGACCCCCGCCGATCCCGAGACGTCGATGCCCTTCGCCAGCGCGAGCGGCTACGTGGAGAGCCGTTTGGCCTTCTGCGCCTCCGCCAAAACGATGGCGGTGGATCGCCCACGCTCGCGCGCCAGCACCAATCCCTCCCCGAACTTGACCACCGCCTGCACCGCCTGCGGTTGCTTGTGGTCCGCCTATCTCCACGCGCCCATGGCCCTCTTGACCGCGTCGGCAGGCTTCTTCTCTTCAGGAGTGAATGGAGCCAACTTCTTCACCTGCTTCGTGAGGACACCCTTGAGGATCTCGCCCCGGTTTTTCTGCGTCGCCAGTTTGATGATGGCGGGTTTTGGACTGCTGGACACGAACCTTGCCCTTGCTGCCCTGCCCATGCACGGTGTTGGCATGACCTTGAAACCCCCACCTGGCAAGGACTGATCGGTCGGCCCACGAGGTTTGAGCAGTTTGACATTCTTGTTGCAGTGTCGGCAGACACAGTGAGTGAGCAACAGGCGATCGTTGTACTCGTACCTCCCACATATTGCGCACTGCGACCACGGCTGATAAGCAACGCCCATCTTAAGTCTTCTGTTGTGGTCAACGCTGGACGCTGCTATCTGAAGCAGCTTGAGCGCAGTGCCCCACGCACCTCGTGCAGGCACAAAAGTCGGGCGCGGCAGGATGCTCGAGCCCAAGTTGCTTGAGGGGGATCTGGGGATGAGGTAGGGGCGGAGAGGGAGGGGGAGAGAGAGAGAGAGAGATGGCCCCTCTCTCTATCTCTCCCCTCTCACAGGGGGGGGGGCGCGAGCGCACCTAGCTTGCCCTCCCCTCTCAGAGGGGAGGGTAAGCTAGGTGCATCCGGCATCCTCTCCCTCCCTGTCATCCCTTCCTATTGCGCGGAATTGTCCCTCTCCGCGGATGTGTGTCATAACCGACGTGGAACTCCAGCAGATCGACCCCATCGTCTTATGTGCAGTCGGACAAACAGGACCTTCGTACATAGGAGGAAGAGGAGGAGAAGGATGAGGAGGAGGAGGAAGAAGAGGAGGCGGAGGAGGAGGAGGAACAGGAGAAGGAGGAGGCGGATGAGGAGGAGGAAGAGGAGTAGGAGGAGGAGGAGGAGAAGGAGGAGGAGGAGGAGGAGGCAAGTGAGCAGGCGGATCAGCAGGAGGACAAGGATGAGGAGAATGAGGAGGAAGATGAGGAGGAGGAGGGAGAATAGGAGGAAGATGAATGAGCAGGACAAGGACGAACAGCAGCAGCAGGAACTGGAGTGGACGGAATGGGAGGATCAGGAGGACCAGGGGAAGACGGCGGAGGGGAAATGAGGGGGGGCGCCAACGATGAAAAAGGACTCGGATCCAGAAAAGTGGCCCGCGCTGGGACGAGAACGCCATTCTGAACGACGGGAGCAAAGCGCCGATCCGAAAATGAGGCCCACGCTGCAGCGGGAGCGCCATTTTGAAACACCGACAAATGTAAACAACAATGCGCGGAGAGGGTTGGAGATCTTCAGGACTGAGTCAGGGTATAGCCGGGTAGAGAGGATAGTAGTACGTATTCGTGTGCAGTTGTAGATAGGGGGCGGGGAGGGAAGGGAGAGGGAGAGGGGGGGAGGAAGGATGGGGAGAGATGGAGAGATGAAAGGAGAGGGAGCGAGGGAGGGGGAGGGAGGGAGAGAGAGAGAGCGAGAGAGAGAGAGAGAGAGAGAGGGGAGGCAAAGGTGGAGAAGGAGGAGAAGGAGAAGGAGGACGGTGACGACGGGGTCGCGCACGGGTGGGGATGAGGGAGGCGGAGGGGACAAGCAAGAGAGGATGAGGATGAGGATGAGGAGGAGGAGGACGGCGACGACGAGAGCGGAGGGGGACGGGGAGGAAGGCGGAGGAGGAGAGGAGCACGGAGCAGGAGGAGGATCAGCAGCAGGACGAGGAGGAGCATGAGGCAGGAGGGGAGGAGGAGCGCAGCGGTGCAGGCCGCAGAGCCAGCTCGGCTGGAGCCGCGGCCGCAGGGCGGGGCCAGGAGCGGCGCGGCGAGGCCCCCGGCGGCCGCAGCGAGCCGGCTCCGAGCGGGCGTCCGGCCCTCAGAGCCACAGCCGCAGGACGGGGTCGGAGCGCAGCACGTCCAGGCCGTGGGCCTGTCGATGATCCTCAGGACGCGTGTCGGCCCAAGCGTGTGTCTACCCCGCTCGGCTCCGCCGATAGCGCGCAGTCTGCAGTCTGTCTGCGTCGTATTGAAGGGCCTCGGTGGGCAGCACACACGTTGGCGCTGACACATGTTCCGAGGACCATCGAGCCTGCGAGAAGTAGGAGAGGAAGAGCTGTTCCCGTGGTCTCGGTGGGCCACCCCGGGGATCGGGCGCGCCGCCAAGAAAGGCCCGCACGCATGAAGCTGCTGGAGGCCTGTTTCATAAAACTCCTGCGGACCGGTACACATGGGCACGTCCCCGCCCCGAGAGGGGCGGGCAGATATCCGTGTCGCACCAACGCTTCGAGACGTCCTCGAGATCCTGGGGCACGGCTCCGAGGCAGCGGACGCGGGCACAACCTGGCGGCGGACCCGGGGGGGCGCCTAGGAACAGCAAGGAAGACGGACGCGCTCCTGGGCCAAGACACGCGGCCAGGATCGGCCGAGCTGGCCCGGCCGCTCTTCTGCCTCCGCGTGGGCCCGCTCGGCTGTTCCCGGGCGCCAACTCGGACCCATCGGGGGTGGCCGACCGGCCACGGGGGGCTGGTTGCAGACCTCCTGCGACGAGTACACCTTGCAGCCCGAGAACGACACGACGAAGTCGCCCGCGTCGTAGGCCACGTGCGTCTGCAGCGCGGAGGCCACCAGGGGCGGGTAGGCGTTGAGGTGCCTCTGTGACAGCAGCGCGCAGGCGCGCGAGTGGCCGCGGGCTGCGGCGGGCGGCCCCAGGTCCTCCGGCCGCCCAGACGCCGCCGCAACCAGGGTCAGCGGCAGCTGCAGCAGGTAGACCATGGCGGCCTGCTCCCACCACGGGTGCTGCGTCACTGGGCTCACCTGGTGGGCTTGTTTTCCACCGCCACCACCATACGTAAGGGGGAGGGGGTCCTCGTCCCGCTCCTCCTCCGCCTCCTCCTCCTTCCCCCCTCCAACTTACGGCGGTGGCGGTGGTGGTGGAAAACAGGCCCATGGTCACCCCGAAAGTCATCCACCGCACCTTCTGGAAGACCGGCGGGGGCAACGAGGGGCGGACGGCCCGGGGGGCGGGCACCGCACGCGTGCGCACGGGGGAGCCTCGTCGAAGACATGCCAGGATCGGTCGGCATCGGATCAGGCAAGCGGATCGAATCGGAAGGATCGGGCCGCGCCGGCGCGGAGCCGGAATCGAATCGACTCGGATCGGCTGCGCCAGGAGGCACAGCCGCGCCATGCAAGCACTGGGCCGCATCGGATCGCCAGAGCACGGGAATCGAATCGGATGGGGCCAGCGGGAGCCGACGCCGAAGCGGGTCGGCCAGATCGATCCCCCGAGAAGCACGGCCGACTGGAGGCCCTGGGCACGTGCAATGCCCTCCCCCTCCCCTGGGCCGCCCGTCCGGGTTGCGGCCCGCCGAGAAGAAGCGCCAGGACCACACGGACGCGCGGATCAACATCACACCCGTGTTTAGCATCAGCCCGTCCTTTGGCGGCGCGCAGAGGGGGGGGGTGGGGGTGCACGGTTTCCCCCGGGGCCGTAGGCGACCCGAGGAGGAGGAGGAAGAGGAGGAGGAGGAGGAGGAGGAGGAAGAGGAGGAGCAGGAGCAGGAGGAGGAGGAGGAGGAGGAGGAGGAGGAGGAGGAGGAGGAGGAGGAGGAGGAGGAGGGAGGAGGAGGAGAAAAGAGGAGGAGGAGTAGGAGTAGGAGTAGGAGGAGGAGGAGGAGGAGGAAACCATACGGCCGAGGAGGGGCTGGGACCGTCGCGGCATCGTTCGTCGTCGGTCGCCCCGTCGGTCGTGGCTCGCGCGCCGCGGAGCCATCAAAGAGAAGACAAAGAGGCGCCGCAGCCGCGGCGGTCACCCCGACCGCCACGCCCAGGAACAAAGAAGAAGCCTGGCACCGCCGCGCCAGGACCCAGAGAGGACAAGACAGGCTGCTGATAAGATTGGCGGCTGCAGCCAGCAGATTGGAGCAGCACCACAGTGCGCAGCAGCCCCAGCGCCACCGGCAGCACGACATGGAGCAGAACTGGAAACAGCAGCGCGACGCCTCGAGGGAAAGGTGGTCAGGAGCAGGGACCACACACCTCGAGGCGTCGCGGCGCGGCCCTGGGAAAAGGTGGACAGGAGTAGGGTCCACAGCCCAGGCGCAGCGCCAGCGCAGCGCAGACTGGACTGGCGACTACGGAGCCATTGGTGGGCGGCCCTGGGAGTGGCAGCAGCATAGTCAGCAGCAGCAGCAGCAGCCACAGACCCACAAGCGCCACCAGCAGCAGCAGCAGCAGCCACAGACCCACAAGCACCAGCAGCAAAGCGACAGCGACCAGCACTGGAAGCACAGAGCGCCCTGGAGGAGCGCCTCAGCCAGAAGGAGAAGCGGCAGGCGCAGAAGAAGGGACCAGCTCGACACGCCTGCCGCAGCCCACATCGGCAGTTACCAGTACAGCCCCCAGCAGAAGGCAGTCCTGGACAGCATCACGCCAGTCTCCTTCGCCGTCGCGATGGAGCACGAGAGCTGGTCCGCACCTCCAGATGATGAAGAGATGAGGTTCGTGTGGTACAAAACCAAGTGCCACAAGCTGGGGCGTCTCACCGAGAACATCGCAGGTGCTAGGCTGGCCGGCTTGTGCACAACCAGCCTCGAGCAGGAAGCGGCGATCACCGCCACGAACATCTCCTTCGTCCTGCCCCACAAAGAACGCATGAGGCAGCTCAGGGCCACGCTGGAAAAGTTGGAGGAGGAGCATGCAGAGATGGAGAAGCGGCTCAGCAAGATGCTGGACCAGGAGGCGACGGCAGCCAGAACCATCAGGGTCTACAAAACCCTGATGAGGGAAACCAGAGATCAAATGGCCAAGTCGGCGGGAGTAAAGGACGAATCATCCGAGGAAGACGGGAGCCATGATCCCACCAGAGGACGCACGCCACACCCAGCCGCGAGGAGAAGGCGCGACCCTGCGGCAGCTCCAGCGGCTCCGGCCATGGCCCAACCAGCAACAGCTCAGCCAGCCCCAGCCCAGCAGCCCCGACCAGTCACAGCAGCATCAGACGAGATCAAAGACGCCATCAGGAGATTGACCGAGAGGCTTGATTCGCAGCAAAAAAAAGAACAGCAGCAAAGCGACCTACTTGCACAAGCAGAGTTCAAGCACAAAAGCGAACTGAAGGCCTACGAGCAGACCATCGCGCAAAAAATGTACCACACGACCGAAGAGCAGTTGGCCAAGCAGGAGAAGTGGCACATATGGGAGGTCAACGCTCTCAAGCGGCACCACAACGCCAAGCTAGAGGAGGAAGAAGCAAAAGCATACGAAGCACAAAGAGGCACCCAGAGGACACAGGAGGAAAGGGCCAAAGGGATGCTCGCAGACCTGCAAATGCATATCGAGATGGAAAAGAAGACCTTGCGCGAGGAGATGCACATGGAAGACCAGAGAAGAGCAGCCATCTACACGCAGCAGGTCCAGAAGGCCAGGCAGGAGGAGCAAGTTGTGAGAGAGATGGCAACCCAAGAGGCCCAGTGGTACAAGATGGCGCAGGAGCACAACGAGAAGGCGATGCAGGAGATGGCGGAGGCGGAGTACCAGGAGAGATGCGCCCGCCACAGCGCTTATAAGGAGGAGGAGCTGCGGATCGCAGTGAACTATCAGCAGATGGCCCACGAGCATCAGGAAGAAGCCAACAAGCGCGAAGCGATGCGGGTCGTCCTGAACCTGGAGCACGCAGCCATCCAGGCGAAGGCATACGAGATGCAGCACGAGCAGGAAAGGTATCTGGAGCGCGTCGGCGAGCACCAGGAGGAGGTGGACAAAGCCCAAAGGATGGAGGAGGTGGCACTGCAGCGACAAACAGCAGCCACAAGCGAACTCCATGCATTACAGCAGCAGCAGGAGATGGAGAACCAAGCGGCGCACCAGTACCACAGTACACTGCAGCACCAGTGCCAGCAGGAGATGCAGGCCATCGCGCAGCACTACGCCCACAACCATCATATGAACGAAGCGCAGAGGCAGCAGCAATTACAAGAACTCCAACGGGCACACGATTTGCAAACGGCTGGACTCCAGACTGCACTACGGGAGGCTTGGGGAGCAGGAGGACAAGTGGACGAGGACCTGCTAATCGACATGACGGAGGACCTCATGGGAGACACAGCCACGAGCGAGCGTGACCAAGGCATGGCGGACCAGGAGGGCGCGTACCAGAGGGAGCAACTTGAGGCAGACTTACTTCGGCTGCTACCTAGCCAGTACGAACTTCCACATCCAGAACTGCCACCGTACCTCGAGGAGCTGGCCGAGGTGGGATTTGGAGAGAGGTCCCATACATCGTCTATGCCAACGCCAGAGGAGCCTACCCCCTCGTCGAGCGACGACCTCAGCTTCCAGAACCAAAGCTTTGTGCCGAGGACATCCGCCGAAGAGTGGCCGCTCCCCCCACCACCACCTCAGCAGCGCCAGCACATTGAGGAGTACAACAGGGTCGGCTCCTCCTCGCACTCAGGGATGCTCGAGGTACAGGCGAGCAGCGATTGCATCCCAATTGGCGAATCCGACGACGCTGACCTGCTGGACGAAGAGTGGAAGAACCGTCAAGGCCTGAGCAAGGAGAAGGAGGGCGAAGCCCCGACAGACCTCGCCTCACTCTCACCAACGATACCAGCCGACTCACCCATCCCGACGGAACAGCCCACGCCAAGACACATACTGTTTCCGCCCGTCACGCCTTTCACGCCACACAAAACCCCACAACAGCGTTCACAGACGGCCAAGACTCCCATGACGACGCTGTTCATCGACCTCAGCCGCGACGAGGAGGATTGCCCCAGCACACCTCCACGGATGCCGATTGAGGATATCACGCCCACCGAGCCACACGAGCCACGACTGCCACCACCGCGTTTCCACTTGGGCACACCAGAGAGGACGAGCTCGGCACCTCCATGCAGAGGCAACCTGAAGCAACCAAGGGAACCCAGGAGGGCGAGGAGCCAGCCGAAAAAGGTCAGGATCTGTGACGCGGACGATGGCTTCGCGGACCCAGGTGACAGAGTGGCATCCTTCATCGAGAGCGGCGAGAGCGACCTCGACGGGGGTCGACTGTCAAAAAACTGATACGGAGTACGCAGGCTGGGGGGCAACTGGCCCAGACCTGCGCCCAGACAACTACACCAGAAGATATCGGGGACATCGGGCCCAGACTCAGAGACCCGTGCGGTGACGAGCCTACGCCCAACGACCCACACCCATGGCTTTCGGCCATACGCACACGATCGCACCTAGCCTCCATCACACTACATAGCTATGACCAAGCCGATGCGAGCCTGGGGGATGCCGCATCCGCTTCAAACCACCAACGCTCTACTAGGGAGCCCCGACTCAAGAGGCGTAGCAGACGATCTACCCGCACTATCAGCTCCCTAGACGCCGCGTCTGTGGGCAAGGGTGGGGACCACCCACAGAACGGCGACATCAAGTCTGAGCGCGCCAAGCGCGGACCTGAGCGACTCCCTCAGGCCGCGAGCCCCACTGCCAGCGGGGTTCAGACAAGCAACCAGCACCGCGACAGGGTGGGACTGCAACAAGAGTGGGAGAGCTACTCGAGCAGTCCGACGCAGTGCCAACAGCGTGGACCAAGGCGACACCCCTTGGCCATGTCTGGTTCGACATCCCACTTCGCGGGAGCCGCGGCGGCCCATGCGGCGTCGCAGCCCAGGCACCACAGCCATGCGAAGGAGGACCCAGGCAGCAGGTCGAGACTACCAGATCCATCACATCTGGAGGTCTCCCAGCGCCGGGTACTCGAGGAGCACCCCACGCTTGCAGACGACGGAGCCTGGCTTGCCCGCCAACCTCTCGACCCCAGCCACCTGGGTTCGCAAGCAGACCACACGGCAAGCACAAAGACCCCTAGAGGGCTGGCTAGTCCACCAGCGTCAGCCAAATTAAATGCAGGCACCACGACACACCCAGGCACTGACTACAACCGACAGATACAGCATGGACCCATACAAGCCTACCAACTAGAGCAAATACAGGACACATACCTTGACAGCATAAGCTACAGCCCTACAGCGCAGAGCCGCACCCCAACGACGCCACAGCTGTTGCAAGAGAAAGAAGAGTGGCGAGGCGCAAAAGATTACTAAGACAGGCGCACAGGGTGGAGATGCGACCAGACTTTGGAGTGCCGCTGATCAATAACCCCTTCGAGGCGCTTGCGGACAGCAGCACCTGCGAGGACGAAGCACTGCCAGATAGCACTCAGCCGCCTGGAGCGGAACATCCTGAGGAGCAGGACTTGGACTCCGCCAGCGAGCGCCCGAGTCGAGAGCGCAGCAGCTGTCCGAGGTCGCGTACTACTTGGAGGGCAGCGCCTAGGTACACAGCAGCAGAGCAGACTCCTTGCTCTGACGAGTCCAAGCAACATAACGTACCGACCAGGACCTACCCGCGTTGGCGTGTCAGGGCGGGGTCGCCTCACTCT